TCATGATCATACTCCCAGATGGCCGACCATGCTGACTCGATTTCAAGGGCCAGAGCAAAAGCATCGCGTGGGCGAAAGCGATGCTCATGGAGCAGTTCCCGAATGTGTCTTCCGCCAAAGACGTCCACTTTGTAGGTTTCGGGCCAGGAAACTCTGGAACACTGACACTAGTCAATCATAAGTTCTAGTCCGCATGCAATTCTCGTAATATGCAGTGCTTTGCCTGAGATACTGGCGTCTCTGGAGTACAGATCTAGACCTCCAAGTACCTACTAGTAGCTACTAATCATAGAGATCAAAAACCTACACATAGGACCTGCATAGACGATAGACCTTTGCCTAAGGGTTGTGGTAACCCTAAAGTGCAAGCCCAAATGATTACAGCTTAGTAGCATTGAGCCCTTGATATCCCTTGACAGTATAGCCCCAAACCCTAAACCCTGAACACCTACAGCTATGGGTAACTTTGGTTACCTAGATCTCCCAAAGTGGCAGCCTCCATTTCATGTTCCATGCTCTTTTCCACTTGATGTCCCCTTGCTCTTTTCCACTTGATGTCCCCTTGTTGGGTAGAAGCCTCACCGTGCGCAGGAGGCAACATCACTGGTACAAGAGCTCCGGGCCCTCGGACAGAGGCCATCATGAGGGCTGAAATAAGTGAGGAACAGCATCTAGTGTTTTGAGTTTAGGGGGAGGGGTTTAGGGTTCAGGGTTTAGAGGGAGTGTTTAGGGAGAACAAAATGATTGTCCCCAGCGGTCCACGTCATATATAGTATCCTATAGTACAGACTTACGGTCCAAGAGGGTTGCTTTGTGACTGCATACCTTTGCCCCAAGCGTCTAAACCCTAAACCCATATAGCCGCAGGAGCCCTTTTTATTTTTTTTGTCGGAGGCTTCTACGTCTGGTCCGCATATGCTTGTCCCCGGTGCGCGGAAGCTTCGTGTAAGCTCGCGGAAGTCGTTGCTCTGCGCAAATGCGCACAGGTTGGTTTGATTGAGCTGGAAGGGCAACTGGCTGGACAGTTTTAATACAGATTTTTTTGTTCGCACAAGTTTGCTTATGTTATTTGCTTGTGAGCTCTAAACCCGCAACCCTTAAGCCATGGAAAGTTGTTCCAGCAGGTTTCCGCCAAAGAAAACATGGAGCAGTGGTTACGGTTTAGGGTCTACTTGAAGGTCTACACAGTTTAACTTAGTAGCTACTTAAACTTGCGACCACACAGGGGTATTCTTCATTCGCTACGACGGGACAAACCCTGCAAAAGTACTTCAGGGTCTCTTGGTGGAGCAAGATTAGTGTAGAGAGTGTCCCATTCTCGGAGTCTCTATCAAAGGGATTATGGAATGCTGGAGTTCATGTGGAGGGTCAGGGGGACTGAGGTTCTAGACTAGTAATGGGGATTACTGGGGTTCTTCTATAGCCTATAGGGACTACTAACTCAAGACTTAACCTACTTACTGGGTCCCCCTGACCAGTAGAAGTCTGCCCTCAAACTTGTGCCAGCTGGCAGCCGATAAATCCCACCGGGTGAGTGAGAGCTGGGCAGATTTTGAACCTGACCCATGTATCTCAGGGTTTAGTGTTTAGGGTTTAGGGTTTCAAAAGCTGGGATGAAGAAAGGTGGATTAAGGATCCTTAGTATATAGTCTACTATATTTGGGCTTATTTGCTATACCCCACCTTCCTTCATCCCAGTTTTTGAGCCCTTTGAGTATCCGGACAACCCACAGCCATTACGCCCTAAAGCCTAACCTCGGGCTCCCCTTACTGGGTTGCTGATAAGGAACTTAATCTTAATATGTATATCTGGTATACATACATACATATATATATATATAGATATACACATATTTATACATATATATATATATAGTAATAGATAAGGTTTCCCCAATTTCGTAACTTAGATTGAATTCCTCCACAGCAACCCAGCTTAGGGGCCCACCCTTAAGCTCCCCTACAGCATCGGCGTGGCTTACGCCCACTCCTGGATTTGCATGGCAAACCCGCTGTGCGCGGGTCCCCCTGCTCTATGTACTACAGCTCCATATTCCCTGTATCATTGAAGAGTATACCTCAAAGAGACCTCACAGTCATCTTGGTATAGGAGCCCACTTTCCATTCAATTCTTCAATTTCTTTTCCATTTGATCCTCCGCCATGGGCTTATAACCCTAAACCCCAATTCCTAAACCCTAATCCCTAAACCCTGAACCGTAAATCAAACCTTCATTTTCAAACCCTAAACCCAAAACCCTGAAGATTCAGGGCTTGAGATTTCAAACTAGGGCCTGCAGGCTTTGGAGGTTTGGGGATTTAGGGTTTGGGGGTTTAGGGGTTTAGGGTTTGAAGTTTAGGGCTTAGCGTTTGGTTGTTTAGGGTTTGGGGTTTAGGGTGCAGGGTTTGGTGTCTAGGGTTTGGGGGTTTAGGGTTTGAGGCCTGTTTTGTTTAGGGTGAAGGGATTTAGGGTTTTGGAGGGGGCTTGCCGCGTGTGCTCTACGGTTTAATGGTTGACCTGGACCCTACATAACCCAACTTCGAGCTGTACGAACACGTTATATATATATATGTATATATATATACATATAGGGTTTAGGGTGTGTGTATATATGTACATATATGATATCTCCTAAAAATTACAGTAGAGTTCCTTAGTGCCAGGTTAGGGTAACGATAGATGGTTTGAGGAGTCAGGGCTTAGGTTTGAGGCTTCAGGGGTCAGCCCTTTCACGGTTTACATTCGTGCGCGGCCGGGTTTTGAGGCTTAGGGCTAAACCCTAAACCCTAAGCCCTAAGCCTCAAGCCCTAACCCAAAACCCAAAACCCTAAACCCTAACCCGAAAGCCTAAAACCTAAGCCCTAAACCCTAAGTTGTGCCTGTAGTTCATCGAGTTGCTAGCTTTGGTTTAAATAGGGTTTACCCTAAGGCTCTAAGGACTCATAATATAAGGTTTTTTGGGCCCAACGACCATACTATACAAGGCTTTTGGGCTATTTTGAGCCTTAGGGCTAGGGTTTAATCAGTTTGCACGCTGTGGGCAAGATCATGCGGTTGTTCAAGTGCAACGGTTTCGCTTCGGATGCTCGGTCAACATTGCCAGTGAACTCTACGTCCCTTGTAACCCCGCGAGAAGCACCTTCTCTATTTGCAAACCTACTTACTGCGCCCTATGCCGTCATCCCAGAGCCGAATCTAATCTCCTGTAGCCTAAACCCTCGCAAGTACATGTTAAACCCTGAGCGTAACCCCACTACCTTCCTGGTGGTTAGCAGGGAAGCAAGAAGGGAATATGATCCCAGCAGAATCCCTATATGAGCTATAGTCTAAACTCCTTAAAGGGGATTATATAGGGGAGTGTTATAGGGTTATTAAGCGGGATACTAGGAGTTTAGACTATAGCTCATATAATACACTCCCTTATTCACTACTAACTCCAAGTAAGTTTAGCTCCGCTACCTCTAAGCCAGGAATCTGAAACCATAAAACTGAATCCAGCCATTAAGTCATGCCATTAAGCCATAACACCGAAGTGCTTACTGTTAAGCCCTAAATGGTACACACCTTCAACCCTAATCCTCTGAATCCATCCGCCGCCAACCTTGACCCCGGAACTCCAAGCCTCTACATCCCACAAACCCTGAATCATATTTGTGTCCTTTCGCCTTTAAGCTACTTCAACCTTTGAAACTACAAACCCTAAACGCGTTTATCCTGCCATCACCAGGCGGGGTCGGCCCGCCATTGGCGCGGCTGATGTGGCAACTGCCTTGTTGTCAGTGAAGGATAAGGCCCCCGAAGAACTTGCTGGTTGCTAGTAGGGAATCAGGGTTTAGGGTGAGGGTTAAGAAAATGGGTGCATATTCAGAACCTAGCTAGCCGTTCGTAGGATTGGAAAGTCAAGCAGAAAACCACATGGAAATGAAATGGACGTGTAGGGTTCAGAATCTACTCGCAGGTTGTTAGCGGCGATGAAGCAACAGGAAAAACGCATGGAAACTAAAGTAGACCCATGATTATTAGGCCCCATCCTTTTGAGGGCCCGAATATTGGAACCCTAAACCCTAAACCTGTTAAGGGGAGAGGTTAATTAATCAGGGGTCTGTATTACCACACCATACTATTGAAGCGCAGATAAGGGCTACTACAGGGATCCATGCCTCCACTCCCTTATTACACTATAGTCCCCCTTAAGTAGATAGAATATTAGGGCTATAATGGGATAATGGAAAAATGGAGACCTCTATTTAGGGTTTAGGGTTTAGAGGTATAGTCCCCCTTGAGTGGATAGAACATGGCTTTGGGTATATTATAATAAGATCCCCATATACCCCATGTTCTATCTACTTCAGGGGGACTATTAGGGTCCAAGTACCCAATAATCATATACTTCCCCAAAACCAATACGATAAAAACTATTACCCAAGCCCAAGTACCTAATCATTAGGTACATGGACCCTTTGGGCTAGGAAGGGGAGGATTGTGGGAATTGGTGATGTGCAGGGTGAGGGTTAAGGGTCTAGGCGACTTAGTTTGCGGAAGGTTGTAGGGTGACGCTTTAGCATTTCGGGTTTAACGTTTAGGAATTTGGGAGGGCGGTTCCATGTGAGAGGTTTGGGGTTTAGAGATTATTCAGGGTTTCGGAAGTTGGGTTCGGGCCGCTTGAACATTATGGTTTAGGGTCAGGCCTTTCGTCTTGCGCAGTTGTCTCAAGGATAAGGCGACAAGGGTAAGGCCCAGACCATATAAAATCCCTGCACCTGAATCCTTACTAAATCCCTAAGAGTCCAAAGACTCAAATGACAGAGTTTTAGGGCCCAAATACCATGAATATTATAGTATTTGGGCCCTAAACCCCTATTATTTGGGTCCTTGGACCCTTAGATGGTCCTCATATATCCCTATATATCCCCCTAGAACTCCTTTAAAGGGACCCTATTATTTGGGTCCTTGGACCCTTAGGGAATCCTAGGTAGCGGGATTGGCTTCCTGTTGTCCAGGCGGCGGTGGCAGACTTTGCCAAAGCCTTGCCTCAAGTCGAGGGGACATGGAGTGACGTAGCAGCTCGGACATGTTTCCTGGAGTTTCTGGGGTAGGCCCCTGGGATATTTAACATTTTCACTTATGGTATGGCTTTAATAAGGGACCCTATATGCTAATATTTTTCAAAAGGTTTTAGGGGCCAACCCAGGTTTACGATTTAGGGCATAGGGTTTCGGGTTTAGTCTTGGGGCCTGGGAGTTTCCGAAAATGACCCTAAACCCTCAACCCTAAACCCTAAACCACATATCCCCAAACATGCTCACATCCTTATCCCTAAGCAGGGAACCCCTCATTTTTTAGGGAAGCCTCCATTTGGGTCATAGTCTAAACTCCTTGGAGGGGGTTACATAGGGGATTATATAGGGGACTACCATGGGGTTATTAACGGGGATACTCAGAGTTTAGACTATGGCTCATCTGGGGCTTGGGCTCAGGGCGTAGGTCTTAGGGCTTAGGTTTCGGGTTGTTCCCTAAGCGTGGCCTTCCGAGGTTGCAGAAATTAAATGCGGAGACGTTTTGGGCTACTGGGGGAGGAAATCTTGCACCACTCTATATGGTAGTTTCCCAAAGTAAGAAAAAGGTACCCCCAATTTTGAAAAAAAAAACATATAACCTGCACCGTAGGACTTCAAGTGCTTGCGGCTTGATGCCCTCTATCTGCTGCATATACCTTTGTGGCTACCTGACCACTGTTATAAACCTTGCTACAACTACAGCGCAACCTTAGCACGGGACTTACTACTTATAGCTGGGGTTATAACCGTACTTATGATTAGGGTAGCCCCACAAGGCCATTCAGGGATAAGTAGGCTTATAAGCCCAGCTCTAAGTAGTTACTAAGTCCGATGAACCTCAAAGTAGACCTCAAAGCCTCATCCCTTCGAAACTCCTTAACGTAAAGCCTTAAACCCTGAAAACACCTTAAAACTTAGACCCTACCCCTCAAACCCTAAAACCCTAAAACCCCCAAACTCTAAAACCCTAAACCCTACACCCTAAACTCCTAAAACCCCAAACTTTAAAACCCCAAACTCTTCAAACCCTAGACCCCAAAAACTTTACACCACCAAAAACACCCTAAAGCCTTACTCTGAGGCCATTCTCCTCCTCAGTGAGGACCCAACTCCCTCGGGAGTCTGGGAAGAGCTTGCAGCCAAGGCAAGGAGGCTCTGCCAGGCAAGTTAGGGGTTACAGCGTAACAGGGTTTAGGGTTTAGGGTAACGGGGTGTAGGGTTAAGGATTTAGGATTTAGGATTTCGGGTTTAGGGTATAGGGCCTAGGATTTAGGGTTTAGGATTTAGAGTTGAGGGCTTAGGCTGTAGGATTTAGGGTTAAGGGTTCAGGGTTTAGGGTAGTAGGGTTTGGAGTTGAGGATTTGGAGTGTGCAGGGTTTTGACTTTAGGGGCTTCGGGATAGTGCTCTAGAGAGATATATCAGGTCATAGCATAATGGCGTAGGGTTTAGGCTTTGGTAAGGGTTTAGGGATTCACCTGTGACCCTACTTGTCCACAGTTTCGTAGTGATTGGGTACCCCTAACTAAGAATTATAACCTTGAAACAGAACCCAAACAATAGGTATGTGGAGTTGCAGGTACCGTAGAAAGCAGAGGTTCAGCACTTGAGTTAAGAAAGAGTTTACGGTTACGAGTTAGGAGTCTGAGTTCCAAGGATTTGCGGCCCACGGGTTGAAAGTTGCGCATTTGTCTGAAGTTTCTCAGGGGATTTAAGAAGCGCGCTAGGCTTCTGGATCACTACTTGCCGCGGGTCGATGACGAGAAGATCTGGGCTACACACACACACATACCCACCTACATACATACACACACACACACACCCTTATCCATTTCTCTGCCAGTCGACATGCGCTTGGTTTCCCCGTGTTCCACATCTCCCAGCGCAGGAGATGCATCCGGCCAGGGTGGGGCACGTGGCCAATGTCATCCTGGGGAGGTTCTGTCGTCCACTCTCACTTGGGAGGAGTTGCGGACCCTTGCAGACGCTTCCTGCATACAGAATCGTTTGTGTGAGTTCCTCATGTGCCTCCAAAACCTCGAAACAGTACCCTAAACCCTAAACCCTAAGATCAGGAAACGTGGACGACCATCAGCAAAAGAAGCTCCCCGGACCAGGTGGAACCTGGCACTCTTCGTGAAACTTCGCAGGCAGCGCGTCTACAGGCAGACGCCGGACTCGTTCAAGAAGACGGTGACCTACTTTTGCGTCCCCTGTAACCGCGAAATCAAGTTCGGTAGTATGACTTGTTCCCAAAGCTGGAGGAGCACGAAGGATGCGGCCGACATAGAGCCTGGCTCGCCAAGATGCAGAGTGCGTCAGTTTTTGGATGGTGATTCCGGGTTTAATTTCCCCCCGCGCCCGAAGCCATGACTCCAAACCTTATACCCTAAATCCTGAATCTCAAGCTCCGAGACCATTAAACCCCCAGACCCTAAACCCGTATAGCTAAATCCCAAAACTCATAACGCAAAGTCCGATGACTCCGAAACAGTTCCATGCTAAAGTGTGCTGATAAAAGCAGGCCGCTGACACATGAAATTCGGGATTCTCAAAAAACTCAAAATAAATAGGGCTTCCCTGAGTGCACCAAGTCCTGCTGAGGAATTATGTTTTTTGGGCGCCCTAAGTGCACAAATAGTGCTTCCTTTGTGCCCTGAAGTCTTAGGTCTATAAAGAGTAGCTACTCTAAGCCATCCGGAACTTACGGCTTTGTGAAACTCTCAAATCATGGAGGGAGTTTGCAATGCTGCCAATCGGCTTTTGGCGGGGGCTCCACCCAGCCCCAGTGTCCAAAGTATATACGTATTATCAAATGCTTCTACAACCCAAGTAACGGTTTCTAGCACAATAATCCCAAAGTATGCTTATTGCATAGTGGACCCTTAGGGGCGGGGGGCGCGCGGGGGGCATGTTTTGGACATGTCCAAGTATCCCAAAGGTTTTTTGGGACGCAAACCTCAACAGAGCCCCCGGTCTCCTAAAGCCCGATTTAGGGGCTTAGGGTTATCATTCTTAGGAGGGCTCTTGCCAGCAGTCGGTTGCCCTCCAACTCCAATCCCTTAAACCTGAGTTTAACCCACCCGGTCTGCATCTGGTTACCCGAACCCTTCTCCGCACCCTAAACCTTAAACCCAAACCTGGAGGGTGGGGGTTCCAGCGCAGATTTTGTAATAGATTTCTGCGGCTAGGGTTTAGGGTTGTAGGGTTTAGGGTTGGGTCTCATGGAAGTTTTAATTTTGGGAAAGTTGGCAGTTGCGTTATAGAGGCACAGGGGCGTAACTTTTCTACAAACCCTAAACCCTAAAACCTTAAACCCTATCCGCATTTGCAGAACCTTCAAGCCCAAACCCAGTGAGGTGACTCATGCCATCCTCAACATTCTCAGCCCTAGAGCCTAGCTAGAGAAAGCCAGGACGCTAAGCGTCCAAGGACTCAAATAAGGGGGTTTAGGGCCCAAATTCTATAGTCTGAATGGTACTTGGGATTTAAAGTCCTAAGATTTGGGTACTTGGACCCTTACGGGCATATACCTTCAATTTGGGTCCTTGGGCCCCAAGAGGCATATACCTACAAACAAGGAATCTTGCACCCGAGGTGTTTACATCTCCACCTTTTCCAGGATTTAAGGTTCGTCTAGGTATACCTCGGGACCTCAACCCGGAAGCCCCATGGCCTAAACCCTACACCCTAAACCCTAAACCCCTAAACCCTAAGCACTAAACCAAAGTTTGGGATCTAGGATTTGATCAGGGCACTTCTTGGAACAGGAGCCTTAAGCCTGAGCCTTGAACCCTCAACCCTAATGCTCAAACCCACGCCTAGGCACCCCAAAAGCTTACCTCTTATACCAATGAACTAGAGCTTTGTGGCTTATACCTTCAGGGTTTAGGGGGTAAATTTCACGGTTTCGGGTTTAGGGTAGCTGGGGTTACAGGTAAGGCCCTGAACCCTAAATAATAGTTTCCATTCCCTTGTCCATTATCCCAATACAACCCCTTTACAATATAGTAGTTTCCATGTTCTGTTACACTATCCCAATATAGCCCCTATATAACCCACCCTATATAACATAGCCCCTATATAACCCACCCTATATAACATAGCAGTTTTCATTTTTCCATTATCTCAATATAACCCCTTTATAACCTTATGTAATCTAGTACTTTCCATTTTCTTTTCCCTACACCCTAAACCCTAATCCCAAAACCCTACACCCTAATCCCTAATCCCTAAACCCTAAGAACTGCAATCACCCAGCGGGCTTCAGGGGCTGAAGCTTGATCTCGAGGTCCCCAAGGCAAGAGCCCTGCTCAGGGTTTTCGCATCCAGGGTGATGGGGTAACCCTAAACCCTAATCCCTAAACCCGAATCCCTAAAGCTAAACCCGAATCCCTAAACAATAATCCCTAAAGCTTAAACCCTTAAGCGGGTTCTGGGGTGGACTCCTCTAAGATTCCAGGATTTAGGGCTCGAGGGTTGAGGGATATATGGAGTTTCTCAATAGAATCCCCAGATTTTTTGGAAGTGTGGCCAAAGTTGTAATGCGCACATAGTCTGGGCCTTTCTCGACTGGAATGCGTTAGAGGGCAAGTTGGAGGGGCGGATACGTTTTGGGCTAAGGCTTAGGGATTTAGGGTTTAGGGTTTAGGGTTTTGGGCTAAGGTGCCTTTCAATATCATGATCTTGGCTTGGCGGGCCTCTTCATTCTGGACTCCTAAACCCTAAATCCCTAAACCCTAAACAGCATCCAGTCCGGAAGTCTGCCACATAGGCATAGTTTTCTTTTTGTAAAGTTGGCAGGTTACCTTTGGGTCGCTGGGAGTGCTTTTTGAACAAGATTTTTCTGCTTGATTTGGTGGAAATCCTGGGAGTCCAAGTAGCATAGTACTACCTGCTTTGGGACCTAAAGTCTATAACCCTAAACCTGAACTTTAGACCCTGAACCCTAACCCTAAACCTTAAACCCCTTGGGCTATTTGGAGCCCTGTAAGAACTGATGGCCTTGTTGAGGATTGTTGTTAAAGTTTGAGGGTTGATGGACGAAATCCTGTTTAGGGTTCAGGGTTCAGGGTAATGTTTGTAGACTTTAGGGCCCACAATAGCCATTATTTGCAGACCTGGATCCCAGGGTATACTACTTCCCTGGGGTCGTGCAGGATTTTGTCCATCAACCCGCAGGTCCCGAGCAGAGGGTCTGAGGGTGACGCAGTGTAGGCTAAACTTAGAAGCACAGCTGGACCCAAATATGAGCCATAGTCTAAACTCCTTAAAGGGGGGTATATAGGGGATTATATAAGGGACTACTATAGGGGTTATTAAGGGGGATACTAGGAGTTTAGACTATGGCTCATATGAGCGCTTT